TGGATCGGTAAGTACAAAATCACGATTAGAATGAAGGTCTAAGAAGGAGTAATTCACCTAGTTGAGGGACCAGCGGACTCCCAAGGGTGCGGACCGGAGCGCGATTGGCACCGAAGGAGTTGACCTCGGCGACCTATTATGGCTCAATCTTGGCGCGGCACGCCCACCGACATCTGATCACTCGCCGCAGGTCTATACGTGGCGAGTGATTAGATAGGTGAGAGAGCGTAGTGTTGAAGAGGGCACAGCGATGAGAGTCGCATCAATGCTCAAATCAACGGGCAAGGAAGGGGTCCCATTTCTCGGGTTCTGGGCCGTTTCTCATGGTTCTTCCTTCTTTCGTGTACCACTCACCATCCCTAGGTTAATTTGAAATGGGTTGCTTTTTCATCGTGAATTCGTCCTTTAAGAAACTAGGTAGCAACTTTTAGATAGGCTGACAACAACGATCAGCCTCCTTAAATTCATCGACGACGGTGTATTTCTTTACATCATGAGGGCTGTGAAGGCATTCACCGCTGCTCATGGAGAAAAATGGCAAGTATGTTCTACTGTAATGCTTTTCTCAACGGTTCCATTTCGCGTGACGATAAAGTCGCTTAGATGCGCCAAAGACTTTTCTGAAACCCCATACTGCAGGACTTGATGCTGCTCAACTTTTTTCATCGAAACAAAGTTATTTCACGATTTCGTCAGCATTCAATATAAACTCTTGACTACTCGTAAGCACAAAACTCACAAGTGATAAGAAGCGAATGAATATGTTGTCCCAGCATGTGAAGAACGTCTCCCAGAGAGACCATTGCGATGAATAAGTTACATGGGTGTCGTAGAGCTCTAAGCAAAGGAAAAACAATTAAGGCATAACTCGTTCTCGAAGTGTAGTAACTTTCCAGTTTTATTTAAGGGCACACCCCACGATGAGTTTGGACAGATCAAGCCTAAAAAATAAAAAATGGGTACGATAGATCTACACTGAATCTCATCAACTCAGACTGCTCGACAAGGGACTAGAATATTCGCGGGACCGCTTCGACTGTTTCCCATTCTCCTCATTCGCAAGTATGCCGGTTTCCATGCCTCCTACTCGTTCTGCTTTCTCGTATGTCTCTCTCGCGGGCACTTAGTGTTTATTGCTCTAGCAAAACAAGTTAAAAGAAAATGTGCATGTGAAAACGCTTCATTCATTTTCGCGTGCAAGAATGACATTATTTCACTTGTGGGTTGCGCCTTCAAGTTCATGCGCTTACTTCGATCGTATGGTGACGTAGACGATAAGAGCGTTCCCCACTATACTGACCGAAGGAACCAGTACTGAGAATACTTGAAAAGGAACAGAAATCTCTTCCGAATGCATGAGTGCCACCATCAAATGTTCTAAAAAAACGATTGACACTAAGACGAACTCTGCTTGAAAAACAGTAGATAGAAATTAAGGAAACATGGCAATTCACATTTGGACTATGCAGTGGGCTTGAAGGTATTATATATTTTCACAGTGCTTACACATTTTCATGACACAAGTCTGAAAACTGCGGAGTATCCGGGATTCTCACTCGGTAAGGAACATAGGGACAGTGACGTAGGTGGGCTTGGGCAAGGTTAGACAATCAAGTGAGTGTTCAGACAGAAACCCAAACAAACAAACGAATCGCAAGGTGCTATGAGCCAGCACTTCTTATATAAAGTAGCAGCATTATGCTGTTAGCGCTGCCCTACTTCTGCAATTGTCTACTTCAAGGCTGACGACGGAGGCGGACGAACGCACCATACCGACCTTTGGAGTATACCGTAAAGTTTGTCCTGCGCCGTACGTCAGTCACCCCAGGTTTTGGTGTGATCATTGAGTTGCGGAAGGTTACTTCTTGGTTTAGGCGTATGGTCTTTCTAGAATTTTACTTTACAAACCTGCTTCTATGCTCACGCCTTATGATATGGCCTGGTTTATACTTGAGTTGAAGAAAACACATCTAAAGTGAAACAGTCACAGCCGCCGACCCAATTATTCCTGGATTAATAATAAATATAATCAATAATACGTTATTCATTACCCAGATTGTATACATACAAAACGGATAGATTCTAGTTCAGGTATTTAATTAGTTTTTTCCCACACTAATTACACATTATATGACACAAATTAGTCCCCTAAAATAATAAAGACTCCGTTATATGCATCTGAACAACCCTAAGAAACACTACAAAACACTTGCTTCCTTATTTTGACAGACATTACCGATAAACTAAACGAGTTATCATCCACCAGTGTTACTAGAAATGGTTTCTTTTGAGGAACTTTGCAAGCATTTCATTGAGGACTTCAACTTATATCTTATATATAGTTACCGAGTGCAGTAATTAATAAAACTTATTCATATATATCCAGTGTCTAAATGGCTAACATTATATCAAAAATGTTAATCAACGTATTGAGCTAGGAATACTCCAATCCAATGAGTTGTTGACCTATTCGTAGACGGCTGCAACCATTCCATTTTTACCACAATTTTAATGACATTTTCTTCAATATTGTTTTTAATTAATATCCCTTAGTCAATATACAATAGTTTCATTTTCATTTCATTTTTCCATTTTTTTTTTTCATTTTCATATTCCTCTGCATAACAAATTTGTACCTCAGCTTTATTCGTCTTTCCCCTTTGTCTTTATTTCGCCAACCCCAACTCACTGATGAGCTCCGAGGAGTATTGAACGTAAATCATAAGGTTCGTCTTGAACAAGGGAGCGAATAGTTCCTATAAAGGTTTTTTCTATCTTAATTAGTCCTAGGCTTGCTTCGAGGAACACAGAAACGATTTCTTAGGATGGTTTCCTAGCTTCCACCGTAAGCGCGTTCGCGGTGGGGCGCGCACTGCCACATGTTATCGATTTGTTTTCGTCGTTTTCTCTGCGCCCTCCACGACGAGAGCCACGACGAGAATGTGGTCGTCAACTGTACGGAGCGCCATCGCTGTAGAAAGCGGAGTATGGCAAGGCATCGGTTCTAGGTGAGGCCCTACCTCTCTGACGCGTGCGGCGTCTGCCTAGTCGCGCAAGCGGAGAGCCGGACGTCTGCCGTGGGTGAGTGCTCCGGGTAGTCGCGAGAAAAGGAATCAAGTGATTGGTATACACATCCACTGGTCCGGTTGCGCGCGCCACCGTGGGTCCGATTGCGCGCGCCAGTGCAACGTGGTTACGGTGGAAGTAAGGAAACCATCCTGATAAATCGTTCTAGTTCGAGGAACTGAGTTGTGTCTTAACACGTTGACGACATCGCGTGTTTTGGCATTTTGCACCGCGTGGGACAGGAGCGATTTTGCGAGCGCGCCGTCCTCACCTTACTTCCGCTTATTTTTTGTTTAAAATGCACAACAACTTGAATCTCATAGAATTATTTCGGCAAGGATGAAAGCATAAAGGTTAACTATATAAATAGCAGTAGATTTTTAGAAGAACGCAT